GAGCAAGAACAGCGCTACCTGGGGTTCTTGGTGAGGCTCAGGCTGTGGATAGTTGAAATGGGCAGGGACAGTGGTACCTGTGTTTCCTGGTGAGGCTGAGGCTGTGGACAGCTGCATTTCTGTTGGGCAGGCACAGAGCAACCTTGGGTTATGGTGAGGCTGAGGTTGTAGAGAGTTGAGGTAGGCACACCCAGTGCTACCTGAGATCACTGGTGAGGCTGAGGCTGTGTACAACTGCATTTCTGATGGGCAGGCACAGTGCTGCCTTGGGTTGCTGTTGAGGCTGAGGTTGTGGACAGTTGCCTTTCTGATGGTCAGGAACAGTGCTTCCTGTGGTCCCTGGTCAGGCTGAAGCTGTAGACAGTTGAGATGGGCAGGCACTGTGCTACCTGGGGTCCCTGGTGAGCATGAGGCTGTGGACAGTTGAGATGGGCAGGCACAGTGCTACATGGGGATTGTGGTGAGGCTCAGGCCGTGGACAGCTGCATTTCTGATGGGCAGGCATGGTGCTACCTGTGGTTCCTGGTGATGCTGAGGCTGTGGATACTTTAGATTGGCAGACATTGTGCTGCCTGGCGACCCTGTTGAGTCTCAGGCTATGGACAGTTGATATGGGCAGGCACAGTGGTACCTGGGGTACCTGGTGAGGCTGAGGCTGTGAACAGCTGAATTTCTTATGGGCAGGCACAGCATTACCTGGGGTACCTGGTGAGACTGAGGCTGTGGCCAGCTGCATTTCTGATAGGCAGGCATAGTCCTACTTGGGGTCCCTGGTGAGACTGAGGCTCTGGACAGTTGGATTTCTGATGGGCAGGCACAGTACTACCTCGGGTTCCTGGTGAGGCTGAGGCTCTGAACAGCCATATTTCTGATCGGCAGGCACGGTGCTACCTCGGGATCCTGGTGAGGTTGAGGCTCTGAACAGCTGTGTTTCTGATCGGCATGCACAGTGGTACCTGGGGTTTCTGGTGAGGGTGAGGCTGTGGACAGTAACATTTCTGATGGTCACGCATAGTCCTACCTGAGGTCCCTGGTGAGGCTGTGGCTGTGGACAGTTGGATTTCTGATGAGCAGGGACAGTGCTGCCTTGGGTTCTTGGTGAGTCTCAGGCTGTGGGTAGTTGAAATGGGCAGGGACAGTGTTATCTGGGGTTCCTGGGGAGGCTGAGGCTGTGGACAGCTTGATTTCTCATCAGCAGGCACAGGGCTACATGGGGTTCCTGGTGAGGCTGAGGCTGTGGACAGCAGCATTTCTGATGGGCAGGCACAGTGCTTCCTGTGGTCCCTGGTCAGGCTGAGGCTGTGGACAGTTGAGATGGGCAGGCACAGTGCTCTCTGGAATCCTGGTGAGGCTGATGCTGTGGACAGTTGGATTTCTGATAGGGAGGCACAGTGCTACCTCGGGTTCCTGGTGAGGCTGAGGCTGTGGACAGCTGAATTTTTGATGGTCAGGCTTAGTGCTGCTTGGGGTTCCTGGTGAGGCTGAGGCTGTGGACAGCTGCATTTCTGATGGGCAGGCATAGTGCTCCCTGGGGTTTCTGGTGAGGCTGAGGTTGTAGAGAGTCGAGGTAGGCACACCCGGTGCTACCTGGGATCCCTGGTGAGGCTGAGGCTGTCGAAAGTTGAGATGGGCAGGCACAGGGCTATCTGGGGTTTCCGGTGGGGCTCAGGCTGTTGATAGTTGAGATGGGCAGCCACAGTGGTACTTGGGTTTCCTGGTGAGGCTGAGGCTGTGGACCACAGCATTTCTGATGGGTAGGCACAGCGCTCCCTTGTGTCCCTGGTGAGGCTGAGGCTGAGGCTGTGGACAGCTGCATTTCTGATGGGCATGCACAGTGCTACCTGTACTCCCTGGTGAGGCTGATGCTGTGGGCAGTTGCATTTCTGATGGGCAGGCACAGCACTACCTGGGGTTCCTGGTGAGGCTTAGGCTGTAGACAGCTGCATTTCTGATCTATAGACAGAGTACTACCTGGGGTTCCTGGTGAGGCTGAGACTGTGGATAGTTGCTTTTCTGATGAGCAGGCCAAGCGCTACCTGGGATTCCTGGTGAGACTGAGGCTGTGGACAGCTGCATTACTGATGGGCAGGCACAGTGCAACCTTGGGTTTATGGTGAGGCTGAGGTTGTAGAGAGTTGAGATAGGCACACCTAGTGCTACCTGTGATCCCTGGTGAGGCTGAGGCTGTTTAAAGTTAAGATGGACAGGCACAGTGCTACCTGGGCTTCCTGGTGAGGCTGAGGCTGTGTGCAACTGCATTTCTGAGGGGCAGGCACAGTGCTAGCTGTGGTTCCTGGTGATGCTGAGGCTGTGGATAGTTTAGATGGGCAGGCATAGTGCGACCTGGGGACCCTGTTGAGGCTCAGGCTGTCGACAGTTGATATGGGCAGGCACGGTGGTTCCTGGGGTTCCTGGTGAGGCTGAGGCTGTGGACAGCTGAATTTCTGATGGGCAGGCACAGTGCTTCCTCGGGTTCCTCGTGAGGCTGAGGCTGTGGACAGTTGAGATGGGCAGGCACAGTGCTCCCTGGGGTCCCTGGTGAGTCTCAGACTGTGGACAGTTGCGATGGGTAGGCACAGTGCTATCTGGGGATTCTGGTGAGGCAGGGGCTATGGACAATTGCATTTCAAATGGGCAGGCACAGTGCTACCTGTGGTTCCTGGGGAGGCTGAGGCTGTGGACATTTCTGATGGGCAGGCACTGTGGTAACTGGAGTTTCTGGTGAGGCTGAGGCTGTGGAGAGTTGGATTTCTGATGAGCAGGAACAGCGCTACCTGGGGTTCTTGGTGAGGCTCAGGCTATGGATAGTTAAAATGGGCAGGGACAGTGTTATCTGGGGTTCCTGGGGAGGCTGAGGCTGTGGACAGCTTCATTTCTCATTGGCAGGCACAGCGCTACATGGGGTTCCTGGTGAGGCTGAGGTTGTGGACAGCTGCATTTCTTATGGTCAGGCACAGTGCTACCTGGGGGTTCCTGGTGAGGCCGAGGCTGTGGGCATTTCTGATGGGCAGGCACAGTGCTGCCTGGGGTTTCTGGTGAGGCTGAGGCTGTGTACAACTGCGTTTCTGATGGGCAGGCACAGTGCTACCTGGAGTTGCTGTTGAGGCTGAGGTTGTGGACAGTTGCCTTTCTGATGGTCAGGCATAGTGCTTCCTCCGGTCCCTGGTCAGGCAGAAGCTGTAGACAGTTGAGATGGGCAGGCACATTGCTACCTGGGGTCCCTGGTGAGTCGGAGGCTGTGGACGGTGGAGATGGGCAGACACTGTGCTATCTGGGAATTCTGGTGAGGCAGGGGCTGTGGACAATTGCATTTCAGATGGGCAGGCACAGTGCTACCTGGGGTTCCTGAGGAGGCTGAGGCTGTGCACAGCTGCATTTCTGATGGGAAGGCATAGTCTACCTGGGGTTCATGGTGAGGCTCAGGCTGTGGACAGCAGCATTTCTGATTGGCAGGCACAGTGCTTCCTGCAGTCCCTGGTCAGGCTGAGACTAGGGACAGTGCTCTCTGGAATCCCTGGTGAGGCTTATGCTGTGGACAGTTGCATTTCTGATGGGCAGACACAGTGCTACCTGGGGTTCTTGGTGAGGCTGAGGCTATGGACAGCTTCATTTCTGATGGGCAGACACAGTGCTACCTGGGGTTCCGGGTGAGGCTGAGGCTGTGGACAGCTGCATTTCCAATGGGCAGGCATGCTGCTACATGGGGTTTTTGGTGAGGCAGGGGCTGTGGATAGCTGCATTTCTGATGGACAGGCACAGTGCTACCTGGAGTTTCTGGTGAGGCTCAGGGTTTGGACAGTTGCATTTCTGATTGGCCAGCATAGTGCTCCCTGGGGTTCCTAGTGAGGCTGAGGCTGTGGACAGTTGCATTTCTGATGGGCAGGCACAGTGCTACCTTGGGTTCCTGGTGAGTCTGAGGATGTGGACAGTTCAGATAGGCAGGGACAGCGCTACTTGGGATTCCTGGTGAGGCTGAGTCTATGTACAGTTGCATTCAAATAAAATGCCAAAAGTGTTCCACAAAGCCGATACCACCTTGTTGTCCTGGCCAGTGGGAAGTTTGTCACAGGGAAGATCGCTTCGTGTCCCTACCAAGTTGTGCTACATCTCCTCCTTGTGCGCCCCTTTGATTCTCGACTTCCAGTCAGAGTTTGTGCCACCTGCCATCCCTGGGCAAAGTCCCTTCATAAGTGCTCAAATTCTTCACCAGTTCTCTAAGTAGCATTTCACCAAATTTTGGTCTAAGGCTTCATTATACCCATAAATATACTTGAGGCCTTCATAGGGCCTTTGTTCATGGGGATTATTGAAATTGTAAATGGGAAATTTGAGAAATGTTTAAATATTTTTAACATAAAAATGCACTGCATATTAACATAAGTAACATTTTCATTTTTAAAAAGTCTATTTTTTAAAACAAAGAGTGTGAAAAGCACGGCACTGCTTTTGTGTTTTTGCCCATCTCTTTCACGTCAGGCTGAACAGAAGCTCACACTTGCTTCTGCGTTCTGTTGCAGTATCACACATCAGTAACCTCCGGAAAACTCCACTGTATGTATGTGAGAGAAGGCAAATCACATGTTGTTATGAAAATAGGATTCACTTTGCAGACCCCTTGAAAGGGTCGCAGGAGCCCCTGGGAGGTTGCGCACCCTAAACAGTGCAGGGCAGCAGCTGTTGGTTCCTCTCAGGACCTGGCACAACGCAAGTTCTCCCAAAGCATTTGCTGAGTGAATCTACCTTTTTGGGGTGGGAGTAGGGACTCCTCCTTCCCTGGAGGCCTGTAGGGGCTGTGGAGTGCATGCCCGAGCGGATGTGTTTCCATCCTGAAAATGAGCAGGTCCAGAGAGGACCCCTGGGTGGAGGGCACAGTGAGGGCTGAGACGCGATCCCTGTCTGATGGCCATTTCCACTGGGCTGGGCTCGTCTCGCCTGCCTGGCACTTGTCCCCAGGACCTCTCTTGCAGCTCATTAACACAGCTCTACTATTGCCTTCACAGGGAACCCACCAAGACCCACCTGGTCACATTCTTCCATACCGACCTCAGTGGTTACCTCCCCCAGAACGTGGTGGAATCCTTCTTCCCCCGCAGTATGACCCGCTTTTATGCCAACCTTCAGAGAGCAGTGAAGCAATTCCATGACTAATGTGATCAGTACTTGTTGACAAAGAACCCCCGTGACTCATCAAGGAGCTCCAGCTGTTGGGACACCAGGAAGCCTGGGAGCACCCGAAGGCCTGTGTTTACTCTTTGGACCAAGCTGACAGACTGCGCTTCTCTGAGAATGCCAACCAGAGGCTGCAGCCCACCCTTCCTGCCTCCTGCCCCACTCAGGGTTGGCATGTAATGACCATTCACGTGCTCCAAACTCTATCTGCCCGTTGTCCAAACACGCCTGTCCTGGCAGGGTGGACCCATTCTTCTGACCGTCTGACCAGGACTCGGCCTGGACACCATTTGAGGTACTCTGGCCCCAATCCTTCCTTTGCCTGTCACTCTCAGAAGCCACGTTTCCCTGACTGTCACAGAGAATCACCATCGCCACTGAAAACCAGGCCCTGTTGCCTTTTAAGCATCTATAGCTCCGCGCTCGCGCTGCAGGACTGTATCAGAAACATATTTTTCTGATATCAACCTTGTATACGGCTCTAATGCTGCAAAAGATTTTTTTTTTCCTTAAAATGGTGTCAACTTGGCAAATAATGGTTTAAAAATGGGATAAGCATTAAGGAAAAACACTGTCAGTGCCTCTTCCGTTTGAATTTGTTTTTCTGTCTTTATCCCTTCTGAGTGGACTTTCGTGTCCTCGGTGAAACCCGGCAGTGTGAGTCTGTTCCAGGCCAAATCTGCAGCGGCAGGGCTGAGTTCTCCTTGGAAGTAATTCTGAACCGAGCGTGGACTCGTGTCTGCATGGGGAACCTGGGGAGAAGAGCCTTCTTTTTCTTTCCCTTGGGCATTTCCCTTTCCTTGTCCTCTGTTAAACGGAGGCAGAGGCAGGAGGTCTAGGTCCTCCGGACCATCCTGCCATCAGGAAAGATGGAAGAGCAAAGCCTCCCACTAGCAGCCCTGACTGGAAGTCCCCCCACCCTCTAGATCCTGCTGCAAGACTGCACAAAGCCACAGGGGCCATGTCCACCCAGGCACATCATCAGAACCAGGGAGCACAGCCTGGCCACCTGGAAGGGGCCTCAGCAGCCACGCACCTTCCTTTCCCTGTCTCCAATCGAGAGAAGGACACTCTGACATTCCCTAGCAACCTCATCTGCACCTCTGCTACTTTCCTTGTAAGACAGACATGTGTCTGACTAAAATTCTTCACATCGCATTTACGCAGGTTACTACTGTGTGCATGGGATGTTTTCACAGTGTTCTCAGCCTTTGCTCCTCCAGACAGAAAACATTTCCCCTGTTACTGTAACTTCCCTGTCTTTGAGTCCTGAGGTGACTGTCTCTTAAATGTGCCAAGATGTGAGCAAGCCTTAAAATACAACAGCTTAGTGTTAAGGGGGCAGAAAGCTTCCTCCTTCTGTGTTCTATTGCAACTACAGATTGTACAATCATGCCTAAGATCTTTAGCTAACACCCTTTTCAAGAAATCAGACTCTTGGATTGACCTAGAATTCATTCATTCATTAAGTACTCTGTGACGAGCAGTGTTCTGTATCAACTTCTCATGAGTTGGTCTGAGTTCAGCTGATTACAGGTGTTCTAGCCAAGGAAGCTTTCATGCCTGCCCCCTCCGAGCTCCATACTCTGAAGTGGTCTTACTAAGATGGGACTGCCTTGTACAGCCCTGTGTAGCCAAGTGAAAGCCAGCCAACCAAGAGCACATCTCACTGGGCCTGTGGGGCACACTGTGCCCGCACTGCTCCTCCCCGTGACTGCGTTAGGGTAGACTGGTCTGAGCCCTGGCTGAGGAGCCAGAAAACATGCATCTAGTCCAAGCTCTGTCACGTGGGCTGAGTGTGCGCTTGAACAGTCAATGCATCTGCTTTGTCTTTGAAAGAAAATATGGAGGCAGTGGTACCAGTCTCAGTGTAACCTGCTTCTTGAGTGTTGACACGAGTGAGAGAATGTATGAATCAGTAAGATGCTGGGCAAGGCAAAGAATTAGGGCTGCCTGGGAGAGACCCAGTCGTAGATTTGTTTTCATGGAAAGTTAAGACAACTTCATAGTTGTCAGTTGTGATGGCTAAAGTGTTTGAGGAGGACACTGGCCTGCATCCTGTCAGCTCTGAAGAAGTTGGCCGAGCAAGGCTAAGCCTCAAGTGTAAATCCCAGCATCATGGAGTGCAAATGGATGAGCCTTTGTTTTAGGACCTTTTGCTGATTCCTACCCTGAAGACCTCAGCCTCGAGATTAGAAACATGGGCAGTACTTGTGTCTTCACCAGCCTTAGGAGTTGTGTCTCCTTGGAGAGGAGAGAACCTTCTAAAACCAGCCAAGACAGGAGGTACTGGGAGGGCCATGGGCTCCGCTCCGTCTATCCCTAGTCCTCAGCTCTGTGCCACTCACTCCTTCAGTTGCTTTGCCTGGCCTCTCAAGGAGTCTCTTGGTGTCATGGCCCACGGCCAGCTCCATGCTCATCCCTGTCCCCACCTTCTCTTTCATCACTTGGCTGCTTGATAAGACTTAGAACAATTCTGATTTTCGGGAAGGCCACTGTTTATGCAGGCAAGGAATGTGCCCCCCACATCACGTGGCCTCCTTGCCCAGCCCTGGTCATGGGGAGGGAGTGTTGAATCGAATCACATCTCTCGTTGGTAGACCATGTCCATCTTCAGTGTTTCTATTAAATCTAAAAAGTAGATACAAATGGTACCTCCAAGTTCTTGTCTAATTGCTTATCTATGGCTTGAGGCAATCCCGAATGGAATGGGCTGCACAAGTTAAGCAGCAGGACAGAAACTGCTCTAAGCCCGTGATTCCTTGGGATGAATAGAACAGTGAGCTGAACGCCTGCTCTAATGAAACCGCTAAATGGGTTTACAGGAAGATTAGGAGCCCAGCTGGGTTTTCTGAGTCCACTGCTGGGAAATAGATTCATCACTTCCTGTGGACCCTAGAGAAGCCATCAGATTGCATTAATACAGCCCCGCTGATGATAGCCTGAGAATTACCACTGTGTTTCATCTGTGGTCCTTCCAGGTGTTCCCCTACATTCTTCCTTCACAGGAGCTGGGGCTGGGGAGAGGCCAATACTCTGGCCCAGGACTAGTCAAAGGATGCTGGTTGTTGCTGATGCAAAGTCACATTGCCTGGTCCTGAGCTTGGCAATTGGGCATCCAGAGACGACCAAACCAAATATCCCTTTGGCCAGGTACTCAGGTATTCCCTATGATGTTATGCACTTAAAGCACCTTGGGCTGATAGTCTCTACCAAATCACAGAAGAAAGGCCTCAATCTGCCACATCTCTCACCAGCTGGATAAGGCATTTACTGCCCACAGTGTTTGCTGGCACAGAACCATACACCAGAAGCTGCTGTGATTACTAAAGGCAATGTCCGTTTAGCGCTGAGCACAGTGCTTGGCCTGTGGCAGGTAAGTGGTAGAAATTTTTATTTGGTACCCTCACATACACACTGGTTCCTTCTGTTGGCACACCTGTCCATGCTTTGAGCTTTCTGCTTCACCTATACTCTTCTGTTTACTGGCTCCACCACCCTTTCCTAGGATTACTTCTCCAATCCAACCAAAAACAATGTTGCAAATGTTTCATGTGACAAATTGTGTTTTTCATAAATGGCCCCAGCAATATTTTCTCTCCCCTTAAGCTCAGGCAGGTTTGTATCAGCTCTAACTGATGGAGGATAGTGGAGGTGATGCTATGTGACTTCCAAGGCAAAGGTATAAACAGGATGCACCTTCCACCTGGCTCTTGCACTCCTGATCTGCTCATCCTGGGAATCCAAACACCATGTTGTGAGGAAGCCCAAGCCACAAGGGGAGGCTACCTAGAAGCATTCAGGCCAGTATCCCCAGGTGAGTTCCCAGCCCACAGCCAACATCAACGGCCAGATGTATAAGTGACTGATCCTTCACATGGTCCCAGCCCCCACCTTTGCATGATTCCAGCTGATGGCAAGTGGAACAGAGATGAGCTGCCCCCTCCAATCTCTGCCCACGTTGCAGATTCATGAGAAAATGTCACTGTTCAGGGGGTGAATCGTGACACCGTTACAATACTTGAAACATTTTGCAAAGCCAGCATGAAATTCATATGAAATTGTAACAAATCCATTTTATTTGTGGCACCACAATATTATTAAGCTCTCTTTATACACAGTCTGCAATTTGTATTAGCTATCCCAATGTGACCCTGCCCTTACTTTTGAAACAACCCTTTTGCTGGGTGGCATTCTAGAAGGTCTGGGCCTGGGCAGCAGTCAGTGGGAAGCCCCCTGTGCTTTCCCCCATCTGGGTGGGGTGGCAGCAGAGACCCTGAGAATCAGCGGTTACTGGGAGCTGAGCTGTGTGCTCTGGGCTTTGGCTTCAGCACGTCCTGCCTAGGAGTCTCCAGCAGCTGATGTCCCCTTGGACTGCATGCTTTTCCTCTTGATGACAATCGTGACAGGTCCATCAGGCAGTGCTTTGATGATGTTCCAGGCTTCAAACCGTGTGAGGCCCTGCATGGCAGTGCCAGCCAGGTGCAAGATTTCATCTCCAGGCTGGACTGTCTCGCTTTGTTCTGAGGCTGCTCCTGAAATGAGGGAGAAGGTAATGGATTCTATGGGTGATGGGGAACAAGAAAGTTGCCCCCTATTCTTGATCTCCAAGGATCCAGGATAGCATGGAAGAGAATGGGGTACTATCCCTTGGGAGAGTGCTTGGTGGTGGTTCTAAACTGAGGCCTCTATTAAGATGGTGACTAAGAGGTTAGGGTACCAGGCTCCAGGGCACCAGGCCCTTGGAAAGGGATAGCCCAGGCTGTCCCCAGCAGAGGGAAATACCACGCAGCTCCAAGCCACAGCCTGGCTGGAGCACCTTCCACAGTTTACAGAGGACTCTGGGGAACGGAGTCCTGCCCGGACCCTGCTATGGACACTGAACCAATATCCTACCCACTTCACATTGGTTCTCCGCATCTGGTGCAGTCAGCAGCATTGGGTGGTATGGGAAGAGGGCTAGTATGATTTCTGTGCAACAATCTTTACATGGATGTTGCCTCTGAGTGGCATGAAGTCCTCTGTGCCCACTTAAGAAGGAAACAATCATAATACGGCCCCCACTATTTCAAAGCTGCATATGAAAGCGATGCTATTTTACTGTGTATATTAAAAGAAAAATTTCCCTCCATTTGACACAGTGATCTTCACAAATCCTGAAATTAGAGTAGAAGATAACAATAATGAAGCTATAGCTAAAGGGTATTGGCGTTGCATTCACGACAGTAATCCTATGAGGGATATATTGCTTGTGTTTCCTTTTAACAGGTGAGGAAACCGAGAACTCCAGTGACTGGCCCAGAGCTTCATAGCGGCTAAGTGGTGGGCCCTGGGTTGGAACCCAGACTTTCTGGCTCCAGAATCTGCACCTCTCCCTCCCATATCACCCTGCAGCTGGTAGTCTCATGTTAAGCATTTAAGCCAATGGGCCCACGCTGGTGAAGTGACTTGCCCAAGGTCATGCCACCAAGGTCATGGGGCAGAACTCACACTAGAATCCAGTCCTCTTGACATTGAACCCAATGCTCCTTCCAAATTGACCTTTAAAATTAGAAATATCTTTCCCAGAAT